TCAGAGAATATACTCATAACGCTTTTATGGATAGTTCATTTTTAAATAATGCTAATCTTACGTTATATGGATGTTGACGTCTCTCAAATGCATATAGAGCTTTAAAATGTGCATCGCTTTTTTTAAATGGTCAGTTTTATTCTCCCTAAGGGTTGATGTACTCAAAATAGATTTTTTTCCCTCTGAGACTGCATTCCAGTCTATATGTAAATTGAAACACACTCAGATTAAATTAAAATAGCTGTGAATTATTGGACAGTTGTCTCACATGAAGTCTTTTCTTACTTAACCTTTCTACATGAAAGAGAGAATCTGTATTTGGTGTCTACTGAACCTGTTTGACATTCCAAGGATGTCAGAATCCTGAAGAATACATCTTAGCTGGTCTGGGTAATGCTTTTGTTGCATAAAAGAACTAAGCTGGAGAGGGATTTGTGATTTTTCAATTCTAGAAATAGTATGATGAAAAAACTAATGATCCCACACACAGTTCAGTGTTTGTGCAATGTTTATTCAGCCAAACAGAGAGCTGTTTTTCTCTGCTATTAATCTTCAGCTTTTCTTAGACTCTGGCATAAAGTATTGGTGGAAAGCAATGTTTTAGTAGCCTGTTACATTTCATTAAATAAATGTGAGCATATGAGTGAATCACACAACTCTTTGAAGTCAAGCACATTTCTAAACCTAAGAATTTAACTCTTTAATTTGTATTCATTTTTACTTTATAGAAAATTATATACTTTCACCCCTTCTCCCTTTTACCTTGCAAAATAGTGAGAATAGTTTAATATTAAATCCAAAAATCTTTTCACGGTGTCATTTAAAATGTCCCAAAGTAAAAAAAGATTTTTGTGTGCGTGAATGACATATATTATGCATTCCCTTAAATTTGTCTTTACTTTTTCTCCAAGTCACTCTGAACGTATCTTATGAACACATTCGGAATGACTTGATCCAATAAGAATTCAAATTCCATTGCATGTTTTCCTCAAATCTCTTTAGTCGTTGCATTTTCCCAGTAACATGCCAAACCTGATGAGATTACCATGTTAGCTTCCTAGAATCACTTATGCATCCTTTTGTGAAGTAGTTTTGGATCAGTTGTTGTTAAAGCCTAAGTATGGTGGCAAAGAATATAGCTGAAGTAGGTGAGAGAGACAGAGAGGGTAGGGAGGGAGAGGATCTTCTGGAATCTTAATGAAGTTTAACCAAATTGCAAATCTTACTTGGCATTTATTGACCACTTACTACATAGTAGGCACTGCAAACATTGTCTTCCATGATTTGTCTCACTTAATAACGAATTCCTATGAAGTAAGCAGTCTCTTAATGCCCTCTGTAAGGTGAAGAAATCAAGGAATACAGAAATTAAGTGGCTTTTCCAAGGTTACACAACTAATAAATGCAGAAATGTGACATGAGCTAAGGTTTGCCTGGCTCCGATGTGTATGGCAAATCCATATTGCCACCACCTCGGTTAGGAGCATAAATTTTCAAAAGGGCTTGTTTTCTTCTGAAATTACTCAGAATGAGGCCAAGGTGGTGTTTTGGGTTTTATGTTCCTCTGACAACTTGCAGCCAGACCCTCACTTCCCCCCAAAACAACTTTGAAATCTTATTCTAAGTTTTTTGTGCAAATTTCTTGGTAAATAAAAAATGCAATGGAAACAGAGAGGTATTAAGTTCAAGCCAGCATGAAATCTGCCCTATGTTAGTCCGCCAAACCCTGCTGATGGCCCCAGAGGGGCTCGCTTGAGTCAGGGCAGCACTGTGAGAAGGATCTGGAAACTGTGCTGAGCTCTCCCAGCCGAGCCCCACCCCGGTGCCTGCAGACACCCTGCTTTGACCGTGGCTGCATCTCATTACCGGAGCAAGGATCGACTTCCCAGCACTTTGTCTTTTACAAACTGGATTAGCTGTGGTTAGAGATGTAGAAATTTTATTTAAAATAGGAAAATCTATGATAGTGTGATCTCACTCTTGTTCTCCCATCCCTCCTTCTTATCCCTATCCCCAGATTTATGGCCATCCCTGATCTTCTGTTTCAGAAATGACAAAATGTTTTGCGCCCTGATTTCAACTGCATTTGATTTAATAAATAATGACTTCTATGTAACAGAAGGTATCAGAAGGGGCTGCCCAGTGCCCGCTCTTTCTAAACCTGGCTTATAACTGAAGTCCCAGTACAGCGCTGAAGGAAAGGATGCCAGCAGTATTTTCTTCCGCCCAGAGTTAGCAGCTCTTGTATAATATTTACAAAGCATTTTGTCCTTTTATGTAGGGGGATGCTATATGGCAGTTAAATTTTCTCTAAGATAATTATACTCCAGCTGCTGAAACTTTTTACTTCTTTTAAAGTATTCTAGTTGCGGTAAGTATTCTTTCTTCTAATATTCTTCTATTGAGCTCTAAAGCCACCAAGCCTTGTTTAGGAGCGGTGGTTGAGGAAGAGGGCCTTCTGGTTGAGCCAATATCCTGATTAATTTAGATTTAATGCGAAAGTCCTTTTGGTTAAGTCTTAGAACAACATTTAAAAACTGATTTGTAAACGTAGCAAATGGCATGTTACCCGATCGTTGATGGCTGACACATACTCAGGATCTGAGTTCATTATCTGAATGCAGATCCTGGACAGAACTCTGCAAAGCGGCCGCTGGTGGACCCTCCACTCATCCTCTCTGAGCCCTTTCTTACTTGGGTTCAAATCCCAGTTTCTTTAGGTACTATTTGATCTTGGGCAAGTTCTTTATTTTCTCTGAGCCTCAGTCTTATCATCTATATAAAGAATAGTAACTACCTCAAAGGGAGGCTGTGAAGACTGAATAAGTTAATTCATATCAATGTCTTAGCACAACGCCTGGCCTGGCGAGTGCAAGTGCTAAGTCTTAGCCGTCATTAACACACCTTCTTTAACTTTTAGTGTTTTCTGATCTCAACACCTACTTTGAAAATTGCTTTCCTTTAGGTAAATACCACATAAATAGTTTTCTTGCCCTTTGCCTCTTTCTTTTGAAAAGAGAATTTAGTTGTAACAGAGGGAAAACTACTGTAGCCGACTGGCTCTGGATTGGGGGGCACGTAAAATGTTTTGTGTAATTTAACAGATGTAATAGTTATTTTATAGAGAGTAAAAATAACTTGGTGAAGTTTGATGAATGCATATGTAAACGTAAGACTGCTTGATTGACTCAAGAAGACGAATTTCAAATTCCTATTTTTTGGATTAACAAAACTCTTTAGTAATCCGCCTGTTACTTTGATGGCTTTCCACAATGAAGTGGCTGATGACCAAAGTTTGCACCTAATTAGACCCCCTATTTGTCCCTCTTTTCCTTCTCTCCCGCTCTGCCTTCCCCTAGATGGGCATGACAAAGGGAAATAGGAAAAAGCTTGTTTGTTCACTCTCTCGTCCCTCTCTTTAACTATACTCTCCATGGTGGAAGGTCGGTGAACAAAGGTCACCATCCAGGGTCCCTACATTAAACACTGTGACCTCACTGCCAAATCACTTTTCCAGAAAGTGTCGCCAGATCAAGTGTCACTTTTATGAACTTTTGGTCTGGCAAACCTGATGTTGTGTGTCACCTCCTTCTTGGTTAAAATGTGTGCTCTTTAAAAGCAAACACAATGGATGGATACAAGTTGGTTTCCAGCCTCATTTCAAGAACTTTCTTTACTTCTTTCTTAAAAATTTAAAGTATATTTGAAATACAGTACTACAGCAGGAACCTAGAATTTACAGGTTAACGCCTTATTAGCATATTATATCTAAATATTATATTATATCTAAAACAAGGTTACAATTAATGAAACATTCATTGTAATGAACTCACTTAGGAAGTGTGTTTGAATTTCATTGATTGGAAGACATCTGCAATTTGATCAAAGAGTTGATTCGTATAAACATCAAGTGTATGTTTTGCTCATTTAAACCAGCTTTCATTGCTTTGAAAGTGTTTGCTTTTACCTTATTAAATACACAATGGTATATTGCTTACAATTTTGGTGTCACTAAAATGAATAAATATATTTTACATTTAACTTTTGAAACATTTATTTTTTTTGAATGTTTATTTCTTTATGTTTTAATTAATAGTTTAAAATACTCTTCCATCCTTTAACCTCCAAAGCTAATTCACTAATAATAAAACAAATCACCTCCTCTCCCTGCCCCGCCCAAAATCAAACCAGGCATTAAAGCATTTTTTAGTTGTTAATATACACATAGATCTCATGATTTACTTTCCATTTGTATTTATGGAGGAGAAAGACATTCACACACTTAATTTTTTTTAAATGATTAGAGTTATCATATGAAAACTGGTATCTATGTGCATTTTATACATTCTTATAATTACTATTTTGTTCAATGCTACAATTATCCTTAAGTAGACTGAACATATATGCTTCACATCTGCAAATTATATCATTTTAAAAGAAATATTTACACAAAATGTAATAATTTTTGACATTGGGATTACAACTACTTATTAATATTTTTTAAACGTACACTCTCATCAAGTCTATTGATTTCTCTTGAGTGCATTTAAGTGATTGCCTACATTTAAAACTAACCAAATTCATTAAAATTTTTCAGTAGTTATATTCACAAACAACTAACTCCAATTTAGAAACAATAATAAAAATCCTGTATATTTATTTTATGTTTAAAACAACAGTTGAGAACTCACAGTATATTTGGTGATTTCAAATCAGAAAAACAGATTTTCATGATCCTGCTAGCTCTGATAGGTTCACTAAAGTTTGTTGATATTTTTATATATAACTGGCAGTTCTTATATTCTAGAAGATTACGGCCAATGGGAATGTTATTTACATGTGAGGGAAATAATGTATAGTTTACCAAAGGAGCAGCAACTATTTCCAGTGGTAGACAGGTTATGATTATTTTACAAGATGAGACACCCTTATAAATTTACTATTGCTAGTGCTGGGCGATTAAATGTTGTAAATAGTAGTAAGAGATGGTGTGCTTTTTTTTTTTTTTCCTAGCTTGAATTCACCAGTGCAGTGAATGAAAAACTGGAAGAATAAAACTTGAAATGACAGAACCACAGACTTACAGCAGAGGGGAAAACTCTCTAGAAACAAATCTTTCAGGCACACTGTAGCTATGAAAGTACCCAAAGGTAGTGCTCTGTCCTATTTTTACAGCTTCCCACAGAAGGATATTACATAATTTATTCTTTTTAGCTACACTAATTAAGTGTTAAGAAGACTAATAATTATATATGACTTGCTTATGTCCATTTTCATTTCAGTGTGGGAGAAACTAGGTACAAAACCATCTCTGGCTCATTTAAAGAGGAACACCTCAGTGGCAAGCTCACAAGACTGTCTTTTCTACCTGGTTGTCCCAGTCTGGGCAAAATACAGCAATCTCCCCATAAGACTACTTTTGGAGGAATGAAAATCCATCACTTTCTTCCAACCATTACCTTCTCTTCACTCCCAACAAAATCTCCAGTAGTTGGCCATCTTTCATGGGGGCACAGCGTTAAGACGAGTAAGGCAATCCAGTCTGCTAAGTCCACTCAGTAGCTGTCTCCAACTAGCTCCCCATGTCCCCACCTAGCACACTGATGTCAAATTTGACCCACTGACAATGCTCAGGTTTGAGACCAGGCATTGAATAGTTGAATCCATAGAGTTAAATCTGGAAATGTGAAGGGACTTCACTCTTGCCTCTGAGCAACTTATTTTTAAATACAAATAACCCTGGATGGGATGACAAGTTGAACTGTTGTAGGTCATCTTTTCTTTACCTGCAAAGGTATTTATTAGATTTCTTTCTTCCACGTCCTACTGCTTAAGGTGGAGTTTCTGAGATAAACTGTCAGATAATTTGAAACCTGTGGGTGGTACTGGATGGGGATGATCTATCTTGAAGGGGTCCTGAGCTGGGTAACATGAGGGGTTGGAGAAATAGCAGGAGGGGATCATAGTGGCCAGAAGAACCAGAGTTTCTAGAGTGCTTACCAGGTGCCAGGTACAGTCCTAAGGCCTTTTATATATACTGATTCATTTAATTCTCATAAAAGTATGATGAAGTAGATTCTATAATTATCCCCCCTTCTGCAGACAATAAAACGTCCCAGTAAATGACAGCGTGGGAATTTGAACCCAGCTAGCCTAGCTCTAGATCTTAAGCAATTACTGTCTATTTACCTGGTTCCATATGGAGAACAGTAAAGACCTGGGGGTGAGAACCTGTGAGGGGACAAGAGCCTAGAAAAGGAGTGTAGGAGCCCCACCACCTACCTCACAAACTTCAGTTTTGCTTCAGATCAGTTTTACAATCTGTTCAGGGAAGGAGATAGCTTTGATCCCATGATCTCTCCCAGAGGTAGAATCTGTGTTTTATCTCAGCTCTGCTAAGTCATGCTACGTTGGATAAATTTACCTCTTCTCTACTTCTCAGATTAATTTACAAATAAATAAATTGGTTCTACAAAAGAAAATAAATGAGCATAGGTATTTTTAAATGTGAAGTCATCATTCTGTATGGTGGTACATGTCACTGGTTTTGATAACTTTTTTGTTTAACATAGAAACAAACAAAAAAGCAAGTAGCCCAAATAAAACAACTCTAAATAAAAATCACTTGGAGAATAAAATGTTAAAAAGCCTTTACAAATAGGTAAACTTTCATTTTTATTGTAAACATAGATCTTATCTCCAATGTAAGGTGAAAAGTTGGTGAAATTGTCTAGGTGATTCCTAAGGAAAGATTACTTGTGTCTATATGCCCTGACAAGGAGAAGAACAGTTAGTCTTCCCTACCATGTAGGTAGGTTTCTCTGACTGATTGATTGATTTTTGTCCTTAAATCCATTGTTCTCCTAAATCCATAGGAAAATTTGTCATGAGTATATAAGTCAACTGTGGTATCTGGAAAATTGCTTTTCTTTTTTAAATTGAAAGACATTTGGTGAATTCTCTGTTCTAACATTGGCAGTTTGGGCAGGAACATTCTGGGATTGATTTTGGAATCATGCTTCAGTTGTATGTACCTTCACTTTGCCAGTAGACATTGATCCCTCTCCACCAGCCTGGTGCTGTGTTTTGGAACTTGGAACTTCCCATCATTGGGGGTCATTACCACACACTGCTCAGGAAAATTAACTGTGTAGCTGTTGGTAGTTTCCAGGAAAGCCATTCTTCTCACTTTCCTGCTCTGAATCAATAAACGGGTCTGTTATTACTCAGGCCCCTGGGCAAATATCTCTATGATGAGGTCCAGCCTGGGGGGTAAGGAAATTGGGAAATAGGGTTCGGCCCAGGGGAGTGGATAGTTTTTAGAGTCATGTGAAAGGAACAACCAAATCATCTCAAATATTGCTTTCATTTTAAAGTTTAAGGTAACATAAATTGTTTCAGAAGGGTCAGGGATTTTTGATGTAACTGGAAAGTTCTTATTTAGTCCAGGTTCCCTTGAAGGAATTGGTCCCCTGCATGATGGCATGGAAGCACATGATCAAGTTAATAGTAGCAGGGTGAATAGCAGGAAGCTGAATTCAGCCCATTCAGAGGAGTAAAGATCTAACCAAGTGCCGTATCCGCAAAGTGAAAGAGCATTTGGAAAGAACCACCAATGCCAAGGTTTCCTTGCATGAAATATAGCACAAGTTCAGGCTTCTAAACTCTACATACCTCCGACCTTTGGCTCTTTTATGTCTCTATTTTTCTGGCCTGACAGACCACATGCCAACGTGCAACCCAGAATCCCTCACCCTCGTGATTTATGGCTTCCAGCTGCTTCAGTGTCTCAGCCGTGGCAGCTGCTTTTCAGATGTCTTCAAACCGGAGGGAGAGTGTTCATGTGAACTTGAGTGGCTGCAGAAGAGAAGAAGAAAAGTTGATGAAAAAATCATCTGAATTCAGCCCCAAAGCTTTCCATTGATCTTTGCCTTCGGGGCCAAGCAAAATGTTTGGTTTATTTCATAAGCTAATTAGGTGTGTGAAAGGCTACTGGGCATCTGCTATTGACTGAACCCAACAAAAGTGATCACCAGGCTGGGTAATCAATAAGGGATCAATAACAAGCGTGTGATTGGATTAGCCATTTGATCAATGCTGTGTGCTAATATATTAACAGGCAAATTACAGAGCAGCCCTTAAGAGCAGAATGCTGACTCTGATTGCATTACAAACTAGTGAGATCTAATGATCCGCCAAGTGCAAGGGGTTAGTTATACAAATCAAGATCTGAAGGTATTTTTTTTCCTTGAAGATTTCTTCCCCCGCCAAAGAAAAGGCTTTCTTAAGTGAGATTCAAATTAAATTACAATTAGCAAGCAGTTGCACTGGGACACCCGATTTCCAAGCAAGTATCACTCATGAGGAAGAGGGCTTGGGAAGTCCAGAAAAAATAGCCTAGAGAACTCTTAGGAAAACCCAGGTAAATTTCAGAAAGGGCAAACACAAAGAACGCCAGAATAGTCACTCATATTCTCCAATAAAATCTTGGTAAATGGATTCCTAGTTTGGATATATAGAGCGCTTTCATGACAGAATCTAATGGTGCTTGATCTATATCAGAACCGTAGATGTCTTCCCAACTTACACTTTTGTTTTAAGGTAAGCTACTATCTTAACTAATTCAGCCTCAAAATGGGTCAGTAATGAGAGACATCTGTGTGTGTGTGTGTGCGTGTGTGTGCATGTGTGCATGTACCAAGTGCACAGCGTGAAGGATTGTGGCCAACAGCAGAAGTGCGCTTTCAAAAAAGAAAACGAGAGAGAAAATTACATGACATAGGACGTGGAGGAATGAAGGAAATGACTTCCACTTCCTAAACCTTCAGAACTTATTTCTATTACACGATTCTATAAGCGACCTCACAAGAGTAAAAAGCCACAAAGCAGAGCTTTTTTCCTCCCTGCTTTCCCCATGATTAGGTGAACCATTTATTCAATTGACTGTGCTCTTTCTGATTCCCTAAGTGGAGACCAGGCAAGACTTTGCTCACTTTCTCTGAATCCTTTTCCTTTTAAGAAATCTTTTTTTTCCCTTTGCCTGAGGGAAGCTGAACCGATTAGTCTGAATTCTCCAGTGTTATTTGCAGACTCGAGAGGTCTCCCAGGGCCCGGATGCAGAGTGGCAGCCGAGCCTTCGGTGAGGTGAGGCAGACGGCAGCTGACAAAACAGGCGGCCTGGCCCAGGGAGCTGGGGGCCGGGAGGGGAGAGGCTGTCAATCAGCATAAGAGAAGCACAGGCAGGGGATGTAATATCTGATGGAGCCCTGTCAGTGCCAAGGTGAACCAAGGTTGATTTGCCTGAGGCTGAAACGCCTAGGACCTCAGGGGTGCTGTAGGCAGATTTTCCCACTTGCCCCGCATTTGGTGAGTTTCAATGTTTATACCTTCCTATGTTCGTTTTTGTACCCAAGTTCAATGCCATCAAGAATACCTAATGATGTTTCTATGAGAACTATTGTTCCTTTTGAATACATCTGCTGATAGTCAATGATCACAGTGATGACAGTCCTCTCAGATCCATTCCTCTGTGGTGGTGCCTCGTGTCACAAGCCCTGTCTGCGTTTTTAAGTACCTTTTTTCTGTGCCTACCAAAGCATAACGTACAGGAAGCTAGCAATCTACAGTGCAAGAGCTTAACTCCGTTTAAATATGGCAGTACAGGAAACTATGAAGTCATCACATTTATTGTTGGTAGAATCTACCCACCACTTTACCATTGGTGAGATTTTGTAAATAAATGACAAATCTTTGGCATCTCATGCAGCCTAAACTACAGTGGCACATGGTGTAATGATATAATAGTCTATGCTACAAGCCATCAGTGATTACATTCATGGTAAGAAGCAATGTACTTTGAACCTGCAGTAAAAGCCACTCTAATTAATCACATGTTCACCAAAATCCTTAAACAGAGTTAAAGAATATTCTGCATCTCATAAATGTAAGACAGGTGACTATAGTGCTATAAAACCCTTATTGCGATGTTACTGGTTAATGCCTCTGACATGATTCTACTCTCCTCTGTAGTGTTATTAATTTGAAGCTTTAAATAATGTCATAAATATTTCTCCAAGAAGAACCAGCTGTGTGGCTCTGGGTGATAATGATTAAAATTATTTAAGATAGAAAGCATTGGAGGACAAGGTTCTTGCTTGTCACTGTGTCTGATTCTGTAATATGCTCTTTTGCAGGAAGAACTGAGAATGAAGGGAGAATGACAACAGGCAAAAAAGAAATTTGCCAATGGTCAATAACTCGTTTGGGAATTTGTGATTGTTTTGCTTGGGGAAGAAAACAACATCTTAAGTGACTTGATAAATGTAATCATTAGAATCTCTTACAACCTGAACATCATCTAAAGTATATATATATCTTCTAAGTAATACTTTTCTTTAAAATAAAAATATCTGTTTGTTTTCTAAACTGTCTCACTTTACCTCTTCCTTGTTAGGTTTAATGACAGTGAATACTGAAGACTTAATGTGATATTTCTCAACAGTTTGAAGATAGTTATGTTTCAGAATCTGTTTCCTTTGGCTCTAGCTAAACCTTATACAGCCTGATGTGGCCCACATCAGTATGAGAATGAAATTCATCTTCATGAGAAGATTCATCTTCCCCAAAGTGCTTACGTTCTTGAAAGCTCCAGTGGGCTAGACTATGACTTGGTTCCAGTAGATAGCTCAAGTGTTATCCTGTGCAGGACTGTTGATTAATCAAGACAAAAAGGTAGGAATGAGTGGTTCGCTGAAGCATGTATGCGTGACGTGGCTTACAGGAAGGGAAGTGGCTCTGATAAGAAAAACACTACAAAATATTAATACTAGGTAGGGGTCTTCACATCCATTAGGATGGCTACTATTAAAAACATAGAAAATAAGTGTTGGAAAGTATGTGGAGAAACTGGAACCCTTGTGCACTGCTGGTGGGAATGTAAAATGGTATAGTCACTATGGAATATAGAAAATAGGATTAACACGTGATCCAGCAATCCCATTTCTGGGTATAGATCCAAAAGAATTGAAAGCAGAGACTTGAACAGATATTTGTACACCCACATTCATAGCAGCATTATTCACAATAGCCAAAAGGTATAAGCAACTCAGGTATCTATCGATGAATGAATGGATAAACAAAATATGGTATATAATACAACGGGATATTATTCAGTCTTCAGAAAGGAACTCTGAGGCAGGCTGCAACATGGGTGAACCTTGAGGACATTATGCTAAGTGAAATAAGCCAATCACAAAAGACAAACATTGTATGATTCTAAATACTTATATATGAGGTGTCCGGAGCAAATTCATAGATACAGAAAGTAAAATGGTGGTGCCTGAGGTTGGGAGAAGGGGGAAATGGGGAATTATTGTCTAATGGGTACAGAGTTTCCACTTGGGAATATGGGAAAAAGTTCTAGAGATGGATGGTGGGGATGGTTGCACAACAGTGTGAATGTTCTTATTGTCACTGAACTGTATGCTTAAAAATGGCTAAAATGGTAAATTTTATGTTATCCAGAGTTTACCACAACTTTAAAACGTATTAGTTAAGGAATAACCCACAGAGATATCTCTGACCTTCGTATGTCTCCTTCGGGCTTCTTGAGCAGAGGAAGGAAGCAGTCACCTGCCAAAGTGCATGTTGTGTTTTTCCTCCTTCTTCTGGGGCTCAGGCTGGAGGAAATTATTTTTCATTCCCATGCTTCCCATGGCTGCCTGGGAGTGAGGTTTGAAGGGAATGCTGAATAAGAACTTGAACTAGTCATGCTGACCTCAGTCAGCTTTCCTGAGTAAGGTTTACAGTTCACACAGGTGTTCTCTGCCTACTAGAAACCTCTCCTACTGCATTGGGAGGCCACAGTAAGAGGAATGACAACTTTCACTTCTTAACCTTAATTCAGTAAATATTTACTGAGTAATTATGTGCCGGGCTCTGTGATTGGTCTCATTTTACTCAAAACCAAGCCTCACATCCTCAATAGAAGTTGTGGTTATTTCAGCCCTTGATCAATGACTGTCTACGTAGGCTGCCATGATAATGGCTAATGTCTGTCTCAGGGGTTAGGGCTGTAATCCCCAAACCAGTGTCCTTTAAAGACATGCCATTGGTCAGTTAGTTCTGAGTTTTCTAATGTTTTTGTATCCCATTTATACTTTTTGCCATGGCCTTTTAGGGGAGCAAGAGTTTCATTAATATATGAATATTATTGAATGATTGTGATAAATACCATTTCTTTGAAGCAGATAGCACCTGCAGTTTATATAGCAGTTTTACTTACTACTCTAAACTGACCATCCTGTAGTCTTGCATTTTAAGATTTATTTTTCTTATTTATATATTTTAACCAAGACGCTGAAAGCTTAAGTGTCTGTCAAAAGTCACATTCTTAAATAAACTTGGAGGAAAACTTTGTGATGTTTTCCCTCTCGGGCTAGTAGCAGTGCTTTTTTCCACTACATTTCACTATGTACTGCATCCCTAATCTGTCTTGGATACATCTCTGTAGAATCAGACAGAACGTGGGAGTGACCCACTGAATCAATTTTTTTTTTCAGTAGTCTTTCCAGAGTTTGGTCTAGCCCCAGATTGAACTGGCTAAAATAAATGTTGGATCCATTCAACTTGGTTTTATGGAATCGAAAAAACCTTTAAGATATCACATATTTTTTTTTTTTGACACAACAGCATGAAATCCTGTTGGGTTATATAGTTTGAAAACCAGGGAAGAGAAATTACAAAAATATTCTCATTATCCAAAAAAGTGAATATTAATTACTGTGTCACTTTCAAATAAATAATTTATAATGTTATTCATAGTAATACATTGTTGGTAATTACAGTTTCTTAGTAAG